TTCCCTTGATCTACCAGTTGGATTACCTTGTCATGAAAGGAAATTGGGTTGGATAAGTAGGACTTCCATGAAGCTGTGCTGGATGTGACCAATGACTGTGTTGTCTTTCAGCTATTTTTCAATACATCACAGAATAATCTTCTCCATAACTTTACCACCCACTTAAGTGAGACTGACAAGCCTGTAGTTTCCAAGGTCCTCCTTTTTGCCCTTCTTGAAAACTGGGGACAACGTTCACCAGTTTCCAGCCAGCTGGGACCTCTCAGGATTCCCAAGGTTGCTCAAAAATTATATAGATTTGTGATGACATCAGCAGCTCTTTGAGGATTCTGTGAGAATTCCATCAGGCCCCATAGATTTCTAGGGATCCAGCTGGAGCAGTAGATCACACACAATTTCAAGGTCAGCTGTGAGCTGATCACTCTTGCAGTCATGGTCCTCCAGCTCAGGGCACTGAGACCCCCTGGTTCATCATCCATGTTGAAGACAGAGGCAAAGAAAGCATTAAACACCTCTGCCTTATGTCTGTCCCTGTCTGTGAGGGGATCATCCTCATCCTGTAACAGGCCAATGATATTTCTATACTGCCTACTGACATCAACATATTTGAAAAAACAATTTTTATTGTGCCCCACATTTCTGGCCAACTGCAACTCCAGTTGGGCTTTGGCTGCAGGAATTTTCTCCCTACAGCAGCAAGCAGCATCTCTAAATTTTTCCCATGTGACTTGACCTTGCTTCCACACTGGGAATACACCTTGCATTCTTGCCTTATATTTCCAAGAGAAGATTCTTGTTTAGCCAAGCCAGCCTTCTGCCTCACCTGCTTGACTTCTGACATTTGGGAATTGCTGCTCCTGTGCCCTCAGGAGGTGTTGTTTAAAAAGTGACCAGCACTGATGGACTCCAGCACCTGCCTGAAGTCTGCTCTCCTCATGTCCAGAGCTGAGGTTTTACTGGCACTTTTCCTACTGTCAACAGAGTTTTTAAACTCGATTGCTTCATGGTCACTGTGGCCAAGACAGCCACCAATCTCCACTTCAGAGTTCCACTCTCTTGACAAGGAGAGCATCTTTCCAAGTCAGCAAGGACCTATCGGAAAGGACCCTAGGACCTGTTCCATAAAGTTGTCAATCAGTTTTTTCAGGAATCTTCTGACCTAGGTTGTACCAGCTTTGTGAGGCTCCCAATTAATTTCTGGTAAGTACCCCATAAAGACAAGGGCATTTGTCTTGGAAGTGTCCCTTAGTTCCTCAAAGAATAATTTTTTGGCATCATCATCCTGGCCATGAGGTCTATAGCAGACTTCCACAAGGACATTCACATTATTTGTTTGCCCCTTGATTCTTTCCCAGAGGCTCTCAACTGTGCCATTCCCAACTGTGAACTCCATACAAACAGTGCCACTCCTTCACCTCTTCTACCTTGCCTATCCCTCCTAAAGAGCTTGTAAACACATCCGACAGGACAACCCAATTCTAGTCACAAATCTCATCCCACCAGGGTTCACTTATGCCAATGATATCAAATCTCTGGGACTGGGCCAAAGCTTTGAGCTCCTCTTGTTTGTTCCTTGTGCTGCGTGCGTTAATGTAGAAACATTTCAGCTGTGGTACATTGTAGCCAACACCTGGTAAGGCAGATTGAGGGATTCCTTAAGCGCTTATTTTTTCAAGTTTTGGCACACCATCACATCGCTCATCACTCATGAGCCTGGTTTTGTCCCTTTTCCCTTCCCAACTTAGTTTAAAGCTCTGTCAACAAGCCTCGCCAGCTCCTGCGCTAGAACTGTTTCCCCTCTGAGATAGGTTCATCCTGTCAGTGTCAGTAGACCAGGTGCTGAGGAGATCATCCTATAGGCAACAAACCCAAAACTTTCCAATTACACCAACCTCAGAGTCACTCACTGACCTGATGGATCTGCCTATTTCTATCAGTATTATTCCTTGTTATCAGAAGTATCTAGGAAATCACTGCCTGTGGTCTTGATCCCTCTACCAATTGTCCCAGGGCCCTGAAGTCACTTTTGATTGCCCTTGGGCTTCTGTTTGTTATTTTGTCACTGCCAGTTTGAACAACCAATATCTGATAGTAATCAGGGCCTTACTGGACTGGAGAGTTTCCCAGTAATGTCCCTTCCCTGAGCCTCTGGGAAACAGTAGACTTCCCTGTGAGTTGGGTCTGGTCTGCATAGCAGGCCCTCTGTTCCCCTTAGTAGGGAGTCTCCTATAACAACCATTCTCCTTCTCTTGACAGAGAAGATCTTGATGCAGGATACAGGTAGTGGTTTCAGGAAGCCTCTCTATCCCAGAAGGACCTTTGCCCACCTTACCAGCTGTTTGGCCTTCTAGTGCCAGAGCATCATACTAGCTGTAGAAGACACCAGTCCCACCTGTCAGATTCTGAGGAGGAGGAACCTTCCTCCTGGTATGTGCTGTGACCATGTGCATCCATCCTTCATCTTTGACAGACTCTTGACTAACAGTCCATTGACTAATTACCCTGTAGGCTTCCAAGTCCACCTGCTTCTCCACTATAGTTGAGGTTCAAGACTCCCCTGTCTTGAGGCTGTAGCATCTCTGAATATAATCAGTTTCTCTCTTGCTCATTTGCTCAGATACTAGAGAGCCTGCTCACTTGTTCCTGTAGCTCCTTCACCTGGTGACACAGCTCTTCAATCACAGCGCACTTTTTGCAAAATAACTGTTTGTTGACACCTTCACTGCCATGACACCCTCACTTCTGTATCATGTGCACCCACTACTGTTTGCAGTGCTCTGGGTTGGCCCCGCTCCCTAGAGCCATTTAAATTCCCCTCGGTTGCTCCCAGCACTGTCCCCTCCTCTCCCCATGGCTGCTGGAGCCATTCGGCTCATGAGGCTGCTGCTTGCATGCTCCTGGACTCAGGAATCCATGCCTTGTACAGCCGGCTCTCATGCCCTGGACTTCCTTGCTCACAGCTACCTGAGCCTCGGAGACCCTCCTGAGAGGGTCAGAACATTTAAACAACTTTGAACCTCTATACAACATTGTGTATTTCATGTTTATGTATGTATGTTCACGTATGCATGCGAGCATACTCACACAGGTGTGTGTGTGTGTGTAGAACAACTTTCATACATACACACACACACCCCCATATATATATATATATATATATATGTATAAAAGTTGTTCTATTTTAGAGTCTCACCCTCGAGTCACTGTACTGTACGGTAATGGTTGTAATCAGTCAATTTATTTATAAGCACAGAGATCAGCTATCGCTGCCCGATGGACAGGTCTGTCGCACTCAGCACTTCGGGGGCTGCAGGAATCAAAGGTTCCGGCCCGGCCGCGCAGGTCCCGCACAGGTCGCTCACGGCAGCCAGGACTGAGCCCATTTTTTGGGAAAGTTTGCCATCTAGAGGCCATATCGGGAAGCACCAGCATAGAAAAACTACCTTAATAAAAGAAAAACGGACTAAGTGGCTTTTCTGGATGTTCGCAGGTACAATTAGTTCAAAACAGCACTGTCTTTATTATATTTCATGTTGGCAATATCATCTTGAAAGCGTTGAGCTAATGCTTCTCCCTGAACCAGAATCAGTTCTTCACAAAATTTGTAACATGCATGTGTAATGAGCCCGGTTCTAGTGTAAGGGGATTTAAAAAATATTCATCAAACCTAATCAGAATAATTTTATTTATTTTACAGAAATAAAGATATTTGAGAGACCATCTCTTCTGCTGGTGGAGTAAAGGTCAAATGAGCAATAAAAACAAGTATGTTCATTGCAGACAGAATTCAACACTTGTGAAAGGTAATTTTTTTTTTCTTTGTAATATCACCCTTTTTATTCTCCTTACAGAAATATCTCAAACTATATTTGGGATTTTTTTCACTGAAAAAATGCTGATATTTCAATTTTCATTTGTATTTATCAAGATCAGACTTGCACTAGCAGGTGTTCAGGAATATGGAAACAAAGACAATGAGGATAATTTTCACAGAGCTTTGGCCTCATGAAGTTCTTCTCACCATACTGCAATAGAGGTTATGTTGAAATTATTTTCAAACATTTTGCTGGAGTTACTGAAAAACGTATGAACATGGTTTCCACATGTTTTGACGAATTTATTGTTCATAATTTTTGTTGGCAATATTGCAATAGCAATGGAGCCCATGAAAATTTTTAGGTTCAGTAAAACCCTGAGGCAAATAGTTCCATAGCTCATTTTCATTTGCATGAGACTGGTTTCCTTTTGCTTACTTTGAATATCACTTTAAAGTTTCATATGATGCCCCTGATTTCTTGCACTGAAAAAGGTGGTGGTCAATCATTCCTAAGGTATTTTCCTTTTTTAATATAGGCCTAATTCCTGGATTTTAGTTACATGTGCAGGTGAAATATGGTTGCATGTTTTTCTCTGATTCCAGCAAAAATCCTTGCTGTTGTCACCATGTGCAACTGAGCAGAAGTTTAGTGAAGCCTTCCCTTCTAAGAGATAGAGAGATGTCTTCCTTTTCTAAGAGACATCAAATAGTGAACTCCATAAATTAGAAGATACATTATGACATCCTAGGGAAAGCATTGGACTGATGTGCAGAAAACGTTCATGCTTTGTGTTTTTTGCTTTAGTTGAGTTATCTTAGGACAAATAGATCTTGCTTCTGATTCCTCACCTAATATCCAATAAGAATAATGATACCTTTTGTAAAACAAATTGATAACTATAGATGAAGAGCCATATACAAGAGCTAAATGTTATTACATCCAGAAACCTGTGTCTTTTTTTTTTTTTTTTCAGGTGGGTTGGTCCAGAGAAATATAAACCCTAAGATCAAAGGTGTGAAGAAGCAGCAATTAGTTGTTAGCAATGCCAGAGAAATCATGGTGAAAATAACTGACTAAAACTGTATACCAGTTTCCCAAGGCAAGTGATAGCTTGCAGCTGGGTGTTAGCTCAAAAAGAACTGGGTCTACTAGCAAAAAAAAAAAAACCACAACAGAAAAAAATTAATTGTATTGAATTTTTTTAAATACATTGCACACATTATACTCCAATATACTCAGAAGGAAATCCAGTTTTCCCGTGAGTATTACTTCACACAGAATATTTTTATTCTACAATCATTCATTTTTTCCAACATAAAAAGGCATATCTTTTTATGTAGATCATATCATAAGGCTGGGCTTTACAAAGAAGCTAAAAGAAATTAGGTAACCAAAATCCCAATGATATTCCCAGTTCCTCTGTAAATCCTACTTCTACTGTTCTGATTAGTACAACCAGGTGTTACTTAGCTGCTTTTTGTGCTTTCAAAATTGTACAGATGTGTATTAATCATAACAAAAACATCTTCTCTCTACAAAGCCTGCACTAGTGTTCACTGCCAATGCATTTAAAGAAAAATAATTTTGAACTTTGCATTGAGTTGAAGCAATTTCTGTCTTCAGAAATCAAATACCACACTGCTTCCTAATAGGAATTGAATTAATTCCTCTTGTTCAACAATTAATTAATTCACGGGTTCTATGTATGTATTGAACATGCATATTGACAGTTCTTTATGTGAAGAGGTAAGACACACTTTGCAAAGATAGGTCTTAGCAATATCATATAGTGTGCTTCATGAGAGAACTGTACTCTTCTAACAGTTTCTTCTTCTCATTTAGTTTTTCCAGTACGACATCCATTAAATGTGAGGAAAAAGGAAACTGAAAAAGAAACACAATAAGAAAAATTATCATTGGACTTCATTTTCTTCATGTGAAAGACATTTATTAAATATCTTTAAACTATCAGATTCCACTTAGTTCTGACAATTACCACACACAGACATATCTGATCTTTAAAGTTCATCTGCCCGGTTAGTGTGTGAAAATTTGCTCTCTATCATAAAAATGATATAAGAGCAGAGTAAAATGAAAAAAGATAAACTCCTTATTGAACAATTCATGCTTTACTGACCATGTTAATGATGTAAACTGCAGTACCAGCATCTCTGTCATTTATCTTCAATCAGTTGATCAATAAAAGGTTACAGTCACCTCTAGGGCATGCAGAAATGGTAGTGTATGAGTGTATGTTCACTACTCTCAGGAGGTTGAGACAGAACTACCAGTATAATTCTCAGTGCTGTGGCAATTGCCTTTGACTCCCACATGAAAACTTGTAAATAAAAAAAAAAACCCCAAAACCTAAACCTCCAAACCACCACCACCACCAAAACACCAAAACAAAACAAACAGCAACAACAAACAACAAAAAACCCCCACAAAAACCAAAACCACAAAAAAACACTCAAAGCAAAATAAAACCTCAAGCCTTCAATTGCATTAATTGGAATATGCCACAAATGTCTGCCTCTCTAAAACGTAATACCAAAAAATTGTATCCTGAAGAAGAGGAGACTGAGGGGAGCCCTCACTGCAGTCACAGCTTCTTCATGAGGAGAAGAGAAGGGGTAGGCACTGATCTCTTCTCTGTGGTGACTGGTGACAAGACCCGAGGGAATGGCCTGAAGTTGTGTCAGGGGGGGTTTAGTTTGTATATTAAGAAAAGGTTCTTCACCCAGAGGGTGGTTGGGTAATGAAACAGGCTCCCCAGGGAAGTGGTCAGACAGAGTTCAAGAAGTGTTTGGATGATACTCTCAGGCACATGGTGTGACTCTTGGGCGTGGTCCTATGTAGGGTTAAGGCTTTGACTTGATGATCCTTGTAGGTCCCTTCCAACTCAGCATATTCTGTGATTGTGTGATATCTACAGAGAAAAATGAAAACCTCTTTCATAACTCCTCTGTATAAGAGATGTATTTGCACAACCAATGCCTCAGAAGAAAGATATTTGGTATATTTTTCAGTGTCATCTCCTTAATGCCTAAAGAGGTTTTCTTTCACAGTCTTGATACATCAATTCACTGTTTGCTGGGAAGTATTTTTAAAGGTGGTACAGAACACTGGTCATGGCAGCTCCACTGGAAGAGTGGCCAGTGCTGTGCCACAGAGGAGAGCAGGGTAGTTTTCATTTGCTGGTGAAAAGTCTCCATCAGCTTCACAGAGCTCTGTCAGCTTCCTTGAACTCCTGGTGAGACCAGTGGTGACTGAGGAATCAGTTCCACAGGAGAAGTAACAGCTTTTTCTCATATCAGAAGGAGAGAGAATTTTACCTTAATAAGGCCACCAGAAAAAAATTAGGTAAAATATTACATTTGGTGAAACAAGCCAATCACCAGCTTATGCTTTTTACAACTGTAGTTGAATGCAACACTTTTTCATCTAGAACTCCTGTCTAGTTTCATACTTCAGTGCTGCTGCTCTCATTTTAATTTTTCACTTCTCTATTCCATTTTAAAGAGAAAATTGTATAGTACCTACACCAGATAGAGTACTGCCTGTTTCCTAGATATAAGAAACAAAAATTATAAAAGAAACAATAAAACCCCAGACACAAAACAACATAAAATACAAATGCTGATGTAATATGTGAACTGATATACATATATGACTCTATATACTGATATTTTTAATTACTAAATTAGAAAAAAAAGTCAGAAAACAAGTCTAAAATGGCAGCAAGGAAAATCTTATTAATAGCAATCATCCATTGTGGAGTGTCTACAATGGCAATCCTGTTGCTGAACAGTCACTTTGTAGTTACAGAAAAAGGACAATAATACACATTATTTCTCTTTTCTACGGGAAAGGGAGTTTTAAAGGGCTGGTACTTCTGGCCAGACATGTCTCTGTCTGTCATAAATAACTTATGCCTATGGTAAGAATTTTCTAGTAGTCATCTACACCTGTCAGCTTTCTCCTGTGTGCTATTGTGATTACTTTTTGGGGAATAGAGGGATCGAATTCACTGAGTACAAATCTATTCAGCGTAATATAAGACATAATCTTACCTGACATTCTGTGAGACTCACTTGCTACCATGCTTTAAAAACAGACTCCAGCATCCTGTTCACTCTAATTGCTCTCTCTGTCTAAATATGTTTTTTACGAGAACACTATATCATTTCCTCAAAGTCTCTAATTCTTCTTGCCTAGCTTGACTTCATTCATTTCTGATAGATTTCACCTCCTTAATGTTGTGCCTGAGATGAATGGTTTCTTATTGATGTCTCTGGCTCATATAATTCTAGCTACATTTTACTTGCTGCTCACTTCTCTCTGTGGCTTCCATGTCATAGCAAAGTGATATTTCAAGAACCCTTTCCATTTAAACGATTAATTTAAATCAAGAGCATTTGAAAGTGGAACATTATGTCATTCTTTCAACATTTGTTGTTTTCGGAGAAAGTGCTGTATGTTTCTATCTGGTTTTCTTTCCATACAGACACCGAGAACTGGATGACCTCTACAGTCTTCATCTTTAATAGAAGCCTGTAAGATTTACTTTTAATGATGGCTCTGTAACTATACTGGGAAGCTTTCCTTTACATTTTTCTACAGAACTTCACAACTATTGAAGATGTCTCTACTCTAAAGTCTTCATCCCAGCTTCCAAACTTGCCACATGCTTGGGGAAGGCTTTGAAAGTTCAGTGAGTGCTGAGTGCACATCTAAAGATTAAAAATTTGTTTATACCACGATAGTTAGATATTTTAATACACAATGGTACTTCCTTCAAATGCTTTACAGTTGTCTGTGACACAATCCATTTAATTGAACACTAAGCATTAATGGTTTCTCTCACCTATTTATTCTGACCTTAAGTTTGCTTCTTTTGGAGATCCCTTCTGGGAAAAACAAACTAGTCATACTTACCGACCTTACACCACATGACTGAGTCTCCCTCAACACAAATGTATAAATATACACAGACTTGCCCGTGAAAAGACTTATAATGAATGCAAGGCGATGTTGTTGTTCTAATGAGACACAGTGTCTCCATTCGCAGAGTGTAGCATTACTTGTCTTCTGCTTTACAAAGTCTAAAATGTGTTATCATAAAAATAAAGGTATTTAAATTTAGGAGTACATAAATTAGTGGTTACCACTATTTTAAATCTCCCCGTATGGATTTTCAATATAATACATTTGCCCAAGAAAACTATTCAAACACACTGCAGAGCTGCTTTAAATTGAATTAAGTGAACTACAAAAAAAATCATCTGAAATAAAACTAGAAACTAAGACCAATAACCAAAGCCTCCTAATTTCACCATCAAATAAAAGTCAGAGTTAAAAAAAAAATTAAAAATTAGAGAAATGCTTCACTTCATTGTTGTTCTTGTCTTCTTTGTTCTTATTCCGCTTTGTGAATATAAAGTGTATATACATGATTATATAAATATGTATGGGCCTGTCTATAGTCTTACTCTGAGTATTAAAGCCAATTTCTCCTTGTTTTCAGTTCAGAACAAGTAATGTAACATGGTTTTGTTTGTGTCCATGAGATAAAACACAGGTCTATACTGTAGTGGATTGTCAATGCACAGGACTAAGCTCTTAGTCTTGTAGTGAGAACAGAATCATGGTTACTTTCTGATGGTCTGATATCAATGTAATGGTGCCTACAATATGGTTCAGACTACGCTGGTGCTGCTTGTTAAGGTGCAGGTACTTGAAACACCTGGTGATGAGTTGCAGTGGTGAGTGTGTGCAGCTGCTTGTGCATGGTTCAATCAGAGGACAGGCAGGGAGCATAGAACCTGTTTAAAGAAAAGACAGACACAGACAGGAGAGAGTCTAATGAAAGCAAAGCAGGTGAGTTCCAACTTGAAGAATTTGAAAGCAAACAACCACAGCTGTTAATGTCCATTCCCAGATGACAGCAGTACAAATCTGTATTAGGAAGCCTGTGAAAATCCTAAAAAGGGGCTGGGGAAAATCCCTACTGATGATTAGTGAATATACTGTTCCAAACCCTGTTCTAGAAATAGGTTACATACACACTTACAGAGTGCCCACAGAACAGAGGGAAAGGAGCCTTTGTGGAAGTTTTCACCATTGGAATATGATATTTAAATTCATAATGAAGTCATAAGAGTAGAGATTTTTTTAGGCAGCTTTGTTTATGTGATATCCCAAGGAGTACATGAGGAGGGAGGGAAGGCAAGTGTTGCTATAGATCTCATAGGGACATGCTTAATCAATGCTGTCATTTGCTTCACTGCTTGGAAAAGTTAGATAGATGATTTGCATTTTATTAAAAAGTAGTTCTTGGAGACTTCAGGCAATAATCTGGATTGGGCTAACATGCTGTACTCACATACAAAATTAGGAATAAATTATTCTGAGATGGTGTTCCTTACAATCAGTCACAATGAATGAAAGCTGAGGGTGGCATAAGAAATCATGTTTAGGTTACATGAAAAAAAAGTCATTCTCTTGCTTTAGCTATGTAAATTTCCTGTGATGAGGAACTAGAGAAGATTGCTGTTTTGTTTCGGGTTTTTTTGAGTTGTGTGTTTAAAAAAAAAAAAAGAGAGAGCTAGGTTCAATTAATAAGACATACACACCCAGATGTAAGGGATAAAGTGGGTAAAAGCCTCATCACTTGCCTTGCAAGCAGTAAACACACAAACATATTGATATAACCATACTTCTTCCCTCCCAGATACCATAAACCATTGAAAGCTCACAAGTTTATATTGTGATACCTCTCCCAACTTCTCCTGAGCTCAATCAGTAATGCATAATCAGTCTGAAGCCTCTGCCTATATTCAGGTAGCAGATATCTGCATGCACTCATGTGAAGCCTCTCCACATCCAGGTTCTTCACAGGCAAGAGAACCTTTTTCTTTTTATCCTAATGTCAAGTATTAAGATGATTTATTTTTATTCTTTAGTGAAAACACTCTAGGGTGTTATGGTACAAATACAGAAACGCAACAGAAAAAAGCACTTGTTGGTTATTCAAATGTAGATTTAGACAGTAAGTGATTTTCCCCAGCTCTGTCAAATTCATAACATATACTTTCATACAATATGATTCATATTTACATAATAATATCCTAATGTAGAGATGTCTCTTTCAAATCATAAACTTCTTAGCAGTGGTGTAATTTCTTGACATATGTTTCTATAGTAGTTGATAAAATAGAGACACAAACTCTGACTGGTGCCTGTTAGTGTCAGAAAAGCATAAATATCACTAAAAAATTAATATTCTTGTAAAGCTGTCTGATATTAGACATTTTCAAGTTACAAGGGTATGGAAAATAAAGGTACAGATGAAGTGAAAATAGAGGTGCGCTTTCCTTTATTGTTACATTTTAGGGGAATCTTTAAAATGACAGTAAAAAGCAACTAGTGCTTCCCTCAGTCCCCCCCAAAATTCTAATGCAGCTGTAAAATGGCGTATGTCAGTAATAAAAATAAAATGTCTATGACATTTTAAATGTTATCGTACTGTCACAGTGGAATAAAATTAGTTTGAAGAATGATCTGAAGGGATATGATGCAGTTCATTATGTATAACAGCAACAGCAGCAGTTTCCCAGTGTTCATAAAAGTTTCTCCATTAAATTTACCTCCAGTCAATAATTAGGAGTCCACAAATAAACCAAGGCAATTAAATCAATACTGCTGGGCAATTATGTTCCAAGTCCTGGCTCAATGGCACAAATAGACACTATATCAAACTGCAATGTTAAGAGATCTGAAGCACTTTTCAACAGAAGCTTTACTCGGAAAAACAGAAAAGGGCAATCCTGCGTCTTTGTTCAAGATTGCAAATAGGTACACAGTTTGCCAACATGTAACACTAAGTAGCCAGTCTGTTATGAGCAAAGTCTGACAGAAAGCTTACATTTCAGCATGAGCTTTAGTTTTCTGATTAGAAATATTACCAAAGCTTACTAAAAGAAAACACAACCGAGCTCTACAAGATACAAGTAAAGCATTTTAAAGGGCACAGAGCTCTTCCATGAGCTGCTCCCAAATACAGCAGAATAAATCTTAACAATTTCCATCTATGTGCCTTAACACGTACAGAAATGAAAAGCATAGCCGGCTGCTCCTAAAAAGCACTATAATCCTCTCACAATTCTAAAACTGGGCTGCTTGCCACAAAATTGCTTTTACCCTCAGTGTTCCTCCTGAGGAACCCCACAAGATGGAGCAAAAATCACTGAAAATCACTATTACTCGTACACAAACTTACACAGCTAAGAGCAATGAGCTCTTCTATCCCTAGCTGACATTTGCAATCCTAATACAGCTGGTTTCATAGTCAACAATTCCTTCACTCCCCATGCTCTGGTTCTTGCCGTCTGCCTATAGCAGATGAAGATAAGTGATAAAATTCTGCTTAAAAGTTTTTAGCAATTTACCAAAGAATGATAACAAAAGACAGAGCAAGAAGTCATCATTGTATTCCATGAATCTGATTCCTGCTTTAGAGCTCATAATATGTAGAAAATCTTGAAATGTATAGATTTTGAAAAAAATTCTTAAAATTAAGGCAATTAAATGAATATAAATAATTATACTTTTACTACTGAGTTTCATGAGGTTTAATTAAAATGCCAGTATTTCTGACAAAGCCAGTAAAGGCACATTGATATTTCCACCTCCTCCACTGCAGCAATTACGCAGTCTTAATGGTACTAAGTTTTGATAAGGAAAGAGGGAAAATCTGTCATTTCTTAAAAATCTGGTCACAAGATACAATCTAGACACAAAAGCTGTTAATGATAAAATGTATAAATCTGATGTGAATGTTCCCTTGAAACGGCTTTCAAAATATTTTCCATCATTCGCATTCTTAACTGTTATTAACTACATCACTAATGGACCCATGCTAGTGAATATGCATTAGGAACACCGTATTTATAAATCAAATTTTACTTCCTTCCAGACATCAGCTACCATCATCTAAATAAAACTGACAACTAAAAATATAATGGAAAAGTTTCAAGAGCCAGTGTGTGTTGTCAGTGATGTCCAAACAAAAGCTGACTATGGCTACAAAAGCTGGGCTCTCACCTGCCAATAAACTGCCCTTGATCACTTACAAGAGGGGAGCATCCCAGCAGACTCTGTGTGTATTAAAAAAAAAGACTTGAAAGAGAAGAAAAAGTATCACACAGGTCACAGCGGCAGTCTCAGTGGACCCCTCAGGGATTTCTACTAGTCTCAGACTTGTCATCCTCTATGCAGCTTTCCTCTCTGCCCAGAAAATGTCGATAGGAAAATGTTTGAGGGGCCTCTGGTGGAAATTTTTTCATTCTTTCTGCATTGACAGGATGCCAAATCAATATTTACTTCCCACTAACAAGCTGCTCGAGGTCTCAGTAGAAAATATTGTAGAGAATGCGAGAAGACACGATAATAAACAGCTGTCTGGCTATGAGGAAAACATGAATTGACTGGAAACAGGTCCGCAGTAAAAGGTCACCGAAACCCATGAACTCCTCAGGTGTCCATAACAACTAGTAACTTTAAAGGCACATAAAAAAAAGTCTCTTTTTCCTAAGAGGCATGAGAGAATGGATCATTTTTACTCTAGCAAGCATTATACACTGTTTCAATAATTCAATTAACACATTTGCCAAGATCTGTGCTGGTTTTCTCCAGCATTGTTTCACTGGTTTCAGCTGTTAAGTTAGTTATCACAAATCCTAGAGTAACATCTCTTCAGATTTATGCAGTGACTCTTACTTTAAAAGAAATAAAACCAAAATGTTACAAAACAATGATTTCACATTGCCTTATCACAATATAATTTGGGACCATCAATGACAACCTAATAACAAACACAATGTATTAATTACAACCTAAAAACACTTAGTTACTCAGAGTACAAAATTGTAATTCATTAACGGAAGTTATAAATTGAGCACCTGTGCTTCCATAAGTTTCTGTATACGATGCAGCCATTCTTTATCTTTTTCAAATTCCATTTTTGCCTTTGCTGTTTCCTAAAAATAGAAACATAACAAACAATAAAGGAAATGTGTAATTGGGTATACATTAAATAAAAAGCATGTGCAAGTGGGAACTACGCTTGCAAAATTAGTTATCTGAATCATATCCACAAAGTATCAGTGCTCTGTTAAATTTATAAACCCCTTGTCTGTGCATGTCCCTAAAAATGTGCATGCCATGTTCTCTTTATATGAATATACAGGTGTATCTATGATCTATGTTATGAGTTCAACACAAAGGTGCCTGAGTCTATGCATTGATAAAGGGAATATGTAGTGTATAAGTAGTGTAAATTCATCATCTGTGCTTTAAATTTGTTTTCTATTTATAGTTAAGTATATTTATGTGTTCTACACTTGTATTCACAGTGGTGACTACAACAAAAGATAAAGGATATAGAAATTACTCTGAGAATGAGGGAAGTACGGAACAATTCCGTCAAAGTGAATCACTGTACAGGGTTGTATAAACGTTAGTAAACAGGGCAGGGATCAGTCCATTATATTTGTCTTCATGAAAGTAATCCATATTAGTGCATACACATACTATGCACTGCTGTTTAACCAACGTGAAAACTCTCTTTTGTGGCTTCTTTAATATAAAGCTCCAATAAGATTAAATCTAAGTCATCACCAGAGTACTGTTACAGGCCAATAATGGTCAACTCCTAGACACTTACTAAAGCAACCGTACAGGCTTTTTCATGTATTATTTGATCAATCCCAAATAAATATGGATAAGAAATCCTATTACTGTATCTGTTTAACAGAGGGTGATTTGATGAAACACTCTCAAATATTTCATAGTAAAATGTATGATAGAATCAACAAAAAAGGCAATGGATTCCCCCAGAAGCCATCTGTCTACTAGAAATACCTTTAATAGGTATCACAATTCAAGAAAGGAAGCATCAATGAAATCAATCTGTCACAGCAAGACACATTCTAATTTTGTTTTCATTAATGTGGAAGTCTATTTATAATGGAAAGCCCTGCCAAATAGTCTCATGAAAAAGGAAAATACTGTCTCTACATCCACATGTTCAAAACAGTATGTTTATATTTATGCATGCCTGAAGTCTTGCCACCTTATGAGTCTCTAACCTGACCTTATTATTTAAATTAAATCATTGTGTGATTTATGTGATGGATGCTGCACAATGAAATTTCAGTCTTTACCTGGAAATCCTTTTCCCCAAGAATGGAAATATACAGCATCTTCTCATCTAGCTCCTTTTTACTGATGTCCTTAAAATAACTTACCTCTTCATCTTCTACATCTAGTATCTCCTCAAGATCAGTTGTTGAAACATTAAGGATAGATGCTGCCAACTGAACAGACTCTTGGGAAAGACAGTTTTTACACGCTTTCATCTCGCCCATTTTTTTTGCCTTTCTGATTTTTGTTCTCAGCTCCTGTATGCTGTGCTGTAACTCTCTGCTTAGAGTCTAGAAGACACAAGCAAAAAATATTCCACTATAAATATTCTTATAATACAAATCATATGGAAAAACCAGTGTAATTTAGACTAAGCTCCTTTAGATAGGAATTATCTTCATTCTGTGTTACTCGTTCAACAGGATATGTGTTGGAATACTAAATAACATGCTATTTAGAACAGAAAATACGAATTAATACAACAAAACAAAAATGTTCTTAAGTGTAAGTACATTTTTTATATGTCTTTAGCAAAATAGCTATACTCATAATGCCATCAGAAGTAAGATAAAGCAGATTCCATAGAATCAATCAAAACCCTTTCCCGATGCAGTCTACCAGAAATGTTCTTGAAATAAAAATAGAAATATCAATCTTTACTGCAGTCAAATAGAGATTTTTTTAAAGCTTATTGATATCTCACTGTATGCAGAAACACTGGTATATCTCTTCATTCAGAACATGAAATTTTGGTTCCCACCAAGCCAAGGTAATCCAAAACTGCCGGCCCACCAATTCTTCCCAATATAATTTCAACAATTTAAATCATCACAGTAGTGTTAATCCATTGTTGATATGCAGCATAACCTCAGAAAACACATGTCCGCAATATTCAAGGCTTGCATAGAAGAATTGCATTCTCTATGTAGCTGGCCCTACCAATGGCCTGGCCAGGCCAGGCAGTCTCTTTGCAAGAGTTCTCTTTGCAGATAGTAGCTGTTTCATACAGACACCTGAGGTGCCAGATCAGAATCATGGCAATTATTCTTTAACCCTGGCTCCAACAAAGTATGAAGCAGGGATTCATCCTTTCTGCTGCTGAAGATATGACTAAAAACTGCACTTGCAGTTAAAGGGAAAGAAGAAATCCAGCAGGCATGAGGTCACTCTCCTCTGTTTATTTCAAGGCAGAATAAAATAAACAGCATGAAACATCCTGCTGAAAAGACTTTGTTGACCTGAATGAAAGCTGAATGGAATCCAAACCTGATTTTGGCTTTTGTTCCCCAACACCACACAAGTATCAATCTTCAATAATACTTTCCACCGCTGAACATAAACCAAACTGCACAACAAAGAACCAGTGCTTCAAGTTCCTACCTCTCCTATACCTTAAGTTCTCGGGTTCTGTGAAATAAGACTAAGCATTAGTATAAAACATCAGTTGTATAACAGAAGTTGTTTTGGTTTCATATTTATGCAACTACAACAAAAGCATTTTGTCAAAAGCTGAGGAGGAGAATTTTATTTAAAAATTGTTGATTGAGAAACAAGAGAAGTAACTCATTGTCAGAAGATCCTCCTAGCATATTCAACTTCCATGACTCAAACAGAACTGTGACTGTCAACACCAACACTTTGGCTGAGTTTAAAATGAGAGAATAAGGTTTTCTTTTGATCGTCCTATGTTGGGCTTATCTTATTAAGCTATATCTCACCAGTAGCTGATTAAGTCCTGAAAATTCTTTTTTCTGCAGAATGCCTTCATCTCAGAGAAACTGACTGCAGAATTATGAAGCCTGTTTATTGGCATTTTGGGTAAATTAACGTACTGCCCCTAGTGTATTCAAAACACAGTCACTAGAGAGCATTTGCTGACATATTTCAAAGAAAGCACATCTGATTCCAAGATTTTTTTATGTTCTCCTACCACTTCCCAACTTCACGGTTTTCTGTATTTAATAACATTTAATTCATAAAAATAAAAATATCCTACCACAAATACAGGCAGAGGAGGTATAACTAAATTTTTCTGATTTTCTGATTAAAGTGTGGTTCCCTCCACCTACAGTATTTCCGAGAAACTGTTTTGTACATAGATGTGTCTGCAAGTGCAGAGTTGAGAGGAACGAAGAAGTTTGAAATGTTACAGACAAGGAACTAGGACAATGTGGCTCAAGCTCATAGAAGGAAACAGACTAAGAGAAGAGGGGGCACCAAATAGAAAAGCACACACCATGAAAAAAATGGAGTTAAATCACATGGTTTTGTAGTATTTGGAATGGTCCAACAGTAAAGTGGCTCCTGCAACACGTAGGAGATATATTTGACAATGCAAAAGTAAGTTCAGCTCCACTTCTTCAATCAAATTGAATCAGCTACCCAAATTTTAAAAGGTCTCTCTCAGACATAAGTGATGTCTAGAAGATGCACTTTTGTATCCTGATGAAAAGAGGAAATGTAAATTAAAGGATCAAACTATCGAGGAAATTAACTGCAAAGCCAGTATAAATAACGATAAATAGATGAGCACAGACAGACAAAAAGCATGATAATAAACAAAGTTAAACATTCACTTGAATGCCTTAGACAACAAACAAACATTGCCAGGCTATAGTCATTTGATATTATTAAATAAATATTATTGATGTATCCAAACTCCAAAGGAGGTTCATGATGAACGAACAAGCTGACAGCAGCAGTGGAATTCACAAACTGCAATTCCACTGTGACTGCCTTTTAGTCCACAGTTCCAGAAAAGAAGGTAATAGAAAGACACTGAAGAATCTGTTACATCAATTTTAAAGAATAGAAAAACAAACAAACAAGCAAGCAAAAACTAAAACAAATGAACCCCCAACAACAACAAAATCCAAACAAACAAACAAAACCCCAAAAATAAAAAAAGGAAAAAAAAAAAGGAAGTTCAAACAAAAATCAGAGAGAAAATTACAACTAACAGATTTTTATATGCAAGCATACACTTTATATATAATCACAGTAGATCATACACGTGGAGGACTTGCACTTCAATTTCTTTTTCCCTTGCGCAGTTCTAATACACTAAAGCATATGTGAAACACAAACCATATGTGAAAAATAAGACTACTTTATGGATTTTCAAATTGGACTGTGACAAACTAGCTATTTTTGAACCTCCTTCCTTCACGTTATTAGGCTGTAATAATGTTTTTATATACATTTTTTCACTGGATAAGTGCCTTTAAAATTTTTAAGATGCTTTTTCTGTTTACATTTTCTCATCTGACATATACTAATGTATTCATATGCTAAATTGTTTACTTCTCATTAGTGACTTAATTTATATGTCAATTCATCCTCCAGTACAGAAATGTTCAGTGTCAAGCCACACAGCTCTTGGAAACTTGAGTTAGGAAGATCCATTTCCAAACTGAAAATTACAAAAATGTAAGAGTTAAGCCACAGAGGTTTTCTTGGTGAGTGTACTGAAGCCAGTATAATATCGTTCTTTGATTACAAAATTGATCCAATGCATTATGGTGCTAAGTGTAGGATTTTGAACTGAAAAATTTCCTCCTGTGCATTTAAAACCAGTTTATTTTTAAACTTACAAGCATACATAGATGATACAAACTTCTTGCAATTAAATCAATACAGTATATGATTTCGGTACTATACTGATGCGTAACAATGCCTTTATTAGTACTAGTAATACTAGGATTTGATATTTTCTCTTTGTTTTTCTTTGGTGTCAAATCTAGGGGATATTTTGTTAGTAAAGCCATTTTCCCAACTTAGATGTTACCATCAGAGTTATTCCTGTGGGACACACTTAGCTGCTACCAGCCAACTAGAATAGGAATTCCTGATTAATTCCTAAAACAAATCTACAACACATCTTGTCAGACCAGTGCAATTACTACTGATCTGACTAGAAAAAAAAATCAGCTTAAAATTCTAACAGCATGACCTTAAAGTTCCCAGCCCTTTTTAATCAGTAGCAATTGTTGAATCATCTACCAACTCCATATGGGAATACAGTATATATTACATACACTGGGTTGCATAGAGTTCTGAAGCATCTCCCTTATAAGGCTTTCTACTTTATTTTCACAATGTAAAATAGTCATTCTTAAGCTAATATTTTGGCCTCAGTATGTAATCACTTCTTAGAACTGTATCTTTTGCCAGTTTTGAGATGTATGAAGACAAAGATCTTCTTTCAATTAAAAGGTCATATTTAATTAAACACTCAAAGGAGCCATGATACAAAGACCATGACAGCACACTATTAATAAAGTCTTTACATCCCAAAACACTGACGCTTGCTGATCCTGGAATTGAGACAATTTGATCAATGGCCCCAAGTAATGCCATATGACTGAGTCAATGCCTAAATTTTTTTCTGTAATTACCATGTTAGCTTACACACTCTATTGTTGTTGTTTGTAGCATAATAAAACTTCATGCCCCTAAGACGAACCAAAGTCTGATGCCAGATAGCACTGTAGCTATATATGGAAAGATTTCAGTCTTGCACTGGTGCAGATCTCATGGCAGAGGCCATGGCTCACATGAGTTATGGATAATTTTAAACTTCACTGTGTATTGTACAATAGTAATAACAGTGTGCTGGATCCAGCTGAGATCACAGAATCATGAAGGTTGGAAGAGACCTCCAGGACCACCTAGTCCAACCATCAACCCAGTACCACCATAATCACCTCTTAACCATATCCCCAAGTGCCACATCCATATGCCTCTTGAACATTCCAGAGCAACTCCCTGGACAACTTATTCCATTGCCTAACCACTCTTTAAGTGAAATGTTTCTTTCTAATGTTCAATCTGCATCTACATGGTGCTATGTAAGGCCATTTCCTCTGGTCCTTTTATTTGAAACGTGGTAGAAGAGACTGACCCCCACCTCACTACAATCTCCTTTACAGTAGTTGTAGAGAGCAGGGAGGTTTCCCCTGAGCCTTCTTTTCTCCAGACTAAACACCCCCAACTCCCTCCTCATCAGACTTGTGCTCCAGACCCATCACCAGCACTGCTGCCTTTCTCTGGACATGCTCCACCACCTACCTCAATGTCGTTTTTGAAGTGAGAGGCCCAAAACTAACACAGTACTCCAGGTGCAGCCTCACCAGTGCCAAGTACAGCAGCAAAATCATTTCCCTACAGCAGCACAATCACTTCCTTAGTTCTTCCTGACTCACTATGCTTGGTACGGGTCAAGATGCCACTGGCCTTCCTTGGCCTCCTGGGCACTGCTGGCTCATGTTCAGCCACTGATGACCAGCAC